TTGGTAGATATTAAATTCTTTCTAGTGCCACGTCATTCAGAGTCTTGCGTCAAAACTGGGAGAGGAAGTCATCTAGGCGGCGTACTGCTTATCTATCATGGAATAAATAATAAAATCCATGAGATGCATTTCGTTCAGACACAGGCAAACAAACTGCAGATTGCCAACACTTGAAATAGCTCTTAACGGACTGTTTTCGCTTATTTTCCTGATGTGTTGCATAGGGGCAATTTCTATTTCATCACAGAAGTAGCAGCTATTAATACTATTTTTAAATTTTATAAATGAATTCTTGCTTCAAGCGGGTCCACCAGCTACACAGCAAAATCTGAAAGCTTTCAGATTTTTTTACATTGCTTCCAAAGAAACTTTTTGATAAGTTTTGTGTATTACCTTTATTCAGTAAATATCATATCCTTCGCTCTTAAACTTAGATTATTTTCAGTTTCTTAGATTAAATTTAGTTTAACAGCAATATCGCAAAATAATTTTTAAATCAGCATAGCTTTAGAATCTCCGATACACAGTTTCGCGCGCTGGAGATGAACATGTTTTTCCGTACAAGTGATGCTATTACTAGCTTTGAAATCGTTGAGTTTTTTAATCAAAACATTTTTAATGTCTGACAAAATACGAAATAGATAATAAAACAAATTCCATATTAGGGCTTTCAGATGCCCTCGGTGGAGAATTACCTTATTCAAAATTAGATGGCTCTAGGTACCGTTGCTTTATTACGCGGCGAGAAACATAGATACATTCCTGTAGATTCTTCATCATTTAATTTCTTTAAATATAATATAGGATTATAATATTTGGTGGCAACAATTTGAAAAGCGAATCGACATTTATAGTGAATCAACGCAAAATGCCAAAACGAAATTAATAGCCCTTCCGTGTTAACGCCCTTTGAGCTAATAACCTGAAACAGTTACTGATACATCGTTGGGATTTTACATGAGAAAAATTTGTTCTGCTTACATAACTATTTTCTATAATATTACAAGAAAAATATGTAACTTTTTACAGGCATAATCCGTGTAAAGTTACAAAGAATGTACCGGCTACTGCTACTCAAATATCCCATAGCATCCCCAGTTTCCATCAGTCTTTTTAGCAGCCTTACAGAATTTTCTTTTTACAGTGTGATAAATGAAAATCTGTCATATCACTATATGAGACATGCTATACTTATGTGTCTGTAGTAAAAAAGATAAATTTTTCATTGCTCAACTGACGAAAGTAACGAAATCAAACAGCTTCATCAATGTACCCAACAAGATTCATGATAGTTGCAGGATTTTGTTGCAACGGTTAATTAAAATTATAAAAAGTTTCAAGTAAGGCTGAATTCACGTTACTATCAGCAGAACATTTTGGATCCAATTTTTTGAAGAAGAAATTCCAGCCTTATACGGAAAGGCCGTCCATAAAGTTGATTTTCACACAGGCAGACAATTTTTGTAGCCACATGCCTAAAAGTCAACAGGCAAAGACCGAATCAGAAACAGAAATAAAATTTATTCCATTTAATAAAATATTTGTAAAAATCACCTGACACTTCTCTTATGGATTTTTATGAATTCGATTTGCTGCAACGCTCCTTAGGAAAACCGCATCCAACAACACTTGACGGACTTTGGAAACGACCCAAGAAGAGTGGGAAATTAATGACCGTGTTAAGAAACAATTTATTTTCATGGAAAAATCAGCTAAAACTACAACCAGGAAACAAAGGTAGCAGACAGAAGCAAATCACTGCAGGAAATGCAATCTTAATTCATAAAAATGAATTAATTAAAATAGTTCCCATTAAGTATGAATCAAATATTTCAAAATCCAAATTATTATAGCGCGATGTTACAAGTAGTACGTGTGTTGCCAACGAAAAAGTGTGGCCGCAGAAAAACTCACAAGTGCCACATTTTGATTTAAAATGAATTATTTTTAATCTAAAATGTGTGAAGTTAAACAAAAGTTTATTAATCTTAATTTTGAAAAGGTTTTTTTCTAGTATTTCAGAAGTAAGTATCTAAATTGAAGGTTCAAAATTGTGGTTCGGATTCTGGAAAGGGATTATAATCTAAAGCATTCTTCACGTAAATTGTAGTCGAAATATTATTAAATTTATTTAACTATGGTTAGTAAACTAACAATTAAAAAAAAAAAAAATCTGAAATGTTTCAGATTTTAAATTACGTCCAAATTACGTCGTCTTTTTAACATTTTGTGTGTTACATTTATTTATTAAATATAATTTTCTTTGAACTTAAACCATAAAATTTAGTTCAATAGCAATGTCGTAAAATAATTTTAAAATGAGCTTATCTTTAGAGTTTTCAATACACAGTTTGACGCGCTGGAGATAAAAAGGTTCCCCCCTCCTCAATAGAGTGTTGCCATTGCTCGCTTTTAAACCGTTGGGTTTATTACTCAAAAATTCGTTAATGTTTTACAAAATATGAAATCAACGTAAAAAAAAAAATTGGAATTTCAGATACCCATATTCGTAGTAGGATTACGTCATTCAAAATTGGATGGCTCTAGATACCGTTTTTTTATCACAATGCGAGAAATAGACATACATTTATGCAGATTTTCATTATTTAATTTTTTCAAATGTAATACAGGAATCTAACATTTTGTGGCAACAGTTTGAAAAGTGAACCGACATTCATAGGAACCCGAAGGAAAACGCAAAAATGAAAGTAATAGTCCTTTGGGACTCAAATCCCTTTGGACTAAAAACTGAAAGCTTTCAGATTTTTTTTTTTTTTTTTTTTTTTTTTTTTTTTTAACGTTTTGTGTGTTACCTTTATTTATTACTTACATATCAGGTTCTTCGCAATCAAATCATAAAAATCAAAAGCAAGATCGCTAAATAATTTTTTTAAAAAATTAAATTTTTAGAATTAAGGATACACAGTCTCGCGCTCTAGAAATAAATTCCCCCCCCCATACAGTGTTGCCATTTCTCTCTTTGAAATCGTTGAATTTGTTAATCAAAAATTCGTTAAAAGTTTTACAAAATATGAAATAGATCATAAAACAAATTCCAAATTTCAAATTTGGGCTTGCCGATGTCCATATGCGAGTGGAGAACTACGTCATTGAATTCTCTAGGTACCGTTGTTTTTTCACAGTGCGAGAAACACACATACATTCATGTAGATTCTCCATTATTTAATTTCTTTAAATATATTGCACGGCTCCAATATTTGGTCCCAACAATTTGAAAAGTGAAACGCCGTTTATCAAAGCAAAGCGTAAGATAATATTTCATTTTTCTTTCTAATTTATTTGTTGTTTATTAAAAAGTGATTATAAAGCGATTAAAAAAAATAAAACGCACATTCATTTCAAATATTATTAATTACTAGCTAACATTAACTAGAATTATTGCACGGCTCCAATATTTGGTCCCAACAATTTGAAAAGTGAAACGCCGTTTATCAAAGCAAAGCGTAAGATAATATTTCATTTTTCTTTCTAATTTATTTGTTGTTTATTAAAAAGTGATTATAAAGCGATTAAAAAAAATAAAACGCACATTCATTTCAAATATTATTAATTACTAGCTAACATTAACTAGAATTATTAAAATCATTATATAATTTGTTGTTTTTTATAATTTATTAAATTATATTTTAGGCGGCCGACCGTGCTCGCGGATGTTGACTTTTTTAGCGATGCCATAAAAATGAACTGCTATTCCTTGCATCATATGTAATTTTATTATAAAACTAAATAAATAAATATCATCATTCTGCAACGCATAAATGGTTATTTACAACCGAGGTAAGTAATATGCCTTTTATTATTTTAAGCGATAACGTAAATGTTTTCAGTGCTAGTGCAAATGTTTAAAAAGTATGATCTCAGAGTAATTCTGGTTATTGTATGAGGAAGAACTAAAAAATGTCAGTCGGGGAAGACAGCAAATGACGAACTTTCTCTCCCTGGAATAGAATAAAAACTGTTGAATGCTGAATATTGATGCATGTATAATACGTATGTTCCTATATTAAAGCGATACTGCATTCTGTTATTTACTTACAAACTTCCCAAATTAATTAAAAGAATAAGAACTGACTGATCGAATTATTTATGTTCCATCTTTTATCCCTTCTTAGAAAATACCTTGAGTGAAAGAAGTCTTTCGCCATTTTTCAAATTGCAGTGTATTTGTCTGTGAAATTTAATCAACAAACTCAGCTATTTAAAAGAAATATGTTGCCACTGCCCGAAGTAAAAATATTTTTATCTTCGACGCAGCAATGTGTGGCCCATGATGTCGGCAATTAGTCACGGAAAAGAAATTATTTTGTCTTTTTATTGATTTTAAGATAGGCGTACCTACATATTTTGGCATTATTTTGAGGATTCTGCAATTTACAAAATTAACTTGCGACTGTTAAAAGAGTGTGCCATAGCTCTACAACATATACTATTTAAAATTGTATTAAAAAATATAACAACGCTTGTTATAATATAAGTGCAGGAAACAAGTCGAACAACATTCGCCCATACATTAAATGTTTCGAACGCAAACATAGCTGATAAATTTTAATACCTAAATCATCAACGAATAATGATTACTAAACATTAATTAATATTAATAAATATTTAAAACATAGCCAACTTTTTGAAAAAAAAAAACAAGTTATGAAATTTCCCTACGACGCGCTGTCTCTTTCCCAACTTTGTGATTTTATTCCGTAACTGAAAAGGAGCGGTAGGGGGGGAAGATGTCGAAAACTACGCTCAAAAACAGAGAAGGCAACATACCAATGCCACTGAGCATCTGCGAGAGTTGTACTCCCGGTCGCTCACAGGACCACCCACGCTGACAACCAATCGGAAGTCGCTCCGTCGCTTTTAACCACGCCTTAGCGATCCGTCTTGTAAGCCTCTCTTTCATTGGCCGCTGCTCCAAACCGGGTGCCGTAGCTGAGACGCAGCGCTTCGAACTGCACGTGGTTAAATAAAGTGGAGGATTCTTTGCTCTGGTCAGGTCCGCTGAATCGCTGTTCCCGAGAGCTCGGATGTTAAGACGGCAATTATCTCGCGGCACGTGTTTATAAAGTGACTTGGCGTGGGCGGTCCGACAATGTAACTTCTGCTGCACGCAGCGCAGCCTTTGACAACTATTCTTTTCTTGTTATAAAAAGCTCATATTTATTTAGTTCAATGGAAGTGATACATCCATATAAATGGACTAATTAGCATTTTTAATGTTTAAAAATTCTGCAATTTTTGGACTTTTAAAAATAAATTTGTGTATAACGGCTAATGAGCAAACACGACTGCTTCAGATTTAATATGTTAATTAAAACATATTCTTAGTGCCATAGACAGAAATTCGAGTACCTCCAGAAAGCAAATTAGAACAATTTTTTATACGCGCTGCTGGTGTTCAGTTTTACGTTCTGAGCTAAGCATATTTGAAGTCTGAAAGTTCTACTTCAGTGATTTTTGAATATTTTAACTGTTCGATTTGTGAGATTTGATTTCTACAAAAATAATTTTATTGCTCAGCGGACAGCAATAGTGCCTTCTTGTGTGTACGACAAAAGCGATTTCTCCATGGGTGCGATTTAATTGCAGATTTAGTGATTAAAACTTAACAAGAGACAGGCTTCATCAGTTAGCAGTAAATAAACTGTTGAAATGAGCGGTCACGTGGAATAGCTGGTAAATATCCGAAGGAAGCAGTTTGAAGGAAGAAGAAAAGCAACCTTTTCAGGATTTCAAGAACAGCCGCGATTGAGGTTTACAGGGTAGAAGATCCGACGACGGTGGCTTTTCGCAGGGTCGCCGCGTGGTGGGAAAGACAGGCTATTGACCCCCCAGACATGAGCCTGCCCACCACACGACACACCGCAACAGGTGAAGTGCACGTGAAGCGGCCAATGAATGCCTTTATGGTATGGTCGCGAGCTCAGAGACGTAAAATCGCCCTCGAGAATCCTAAGATGCACAATTCAGAGATTAGCAAGCGCCTGGGCACCGAATGGAAACATCTGTCTGAGTCAGAGAAACGCCCATTCATCGAAGAGGCGAAACGGCTGAGGGCGCTTCATATGAAGGAGCATCCGGACTACAAATACAAACCACGACGCAAACCTAAGACTTTGTTAAAAAAGGACAGATTTCCTTTTCCTCTTCCATATATGTCAACACCAATAGACTATTTAGGCATGAACTTTTCGCGGAGTTTCTTCCCTGCTGCGCCATCATCAGCGGGACTTCCAATGCCGGGTTTGCTCCCTTTTTCTTCCTCCGATTCCATATTTGCCAGCGCTCCTGCTGTTGTTACAAGTTCAGCGCCTTCGGCAACAGTATCAAGGCTATCACCTTCTGAAGACAGAACAGATCAAGATGGTAAGCTTTCTTCTGCTGGGTCTTCCACCCCCAGTGATGCGAACCTCTTGCATCCTTTCAAACCACTCAGCAGCACGAGTCCTTATCCAGCTTACAGTCCCGCTGCAGCTGCTGCGGCCGCAGCTTCCCTCTACTCCGGATTGTCACTTCCTGTATCACCTTACTTCATGCCGTGTGGATGTGGTCCGTCCGGACCCTATGGTCTGGGTTCATCTGTACCGCAGAGTCCCGGCGACTCAGCCCGTCACGGTGCATCAGCAGTGGTCACTTCCTCAGCAGGGTCTCTTGTGCTCAATCCTTTCCTCAGAGTATCGGACTGTCACCCGGCTTATCCGTCTACTTCGAGAGACAACCACAGTGACGCGCAAACACCTCCTGGACATTCCTTGCCTGCTAGTCAACTTTTAGGCTTTTATTCGTGCCTGGGCAGACCGAAACCATCAGAAAACGGTGACTTATAATTTTATTTATTTATTATGTGATTCTTCTCCCTAATGAATTTTTATCCAGATTTCAACAATTTAATTATTTGAATAGTGTCGATAAGAAGCGCTGAACGATAAATACATGCTTCATCATACTATTTCTTTGCATACCACCGAAACACGAAAGTTTCGAAAAATCAAATGAGAATCAAACAGTGAGTGTGAGATTAAGTCTTCAGATTATCAGGCTTATTTAGCATGTAGATATCAACTGGAACATATCATTCTTTAAACGACAGACTTATTTAAAATACAATTTGTAGTTCATGCTGCTTAGTTGAAAACATATGATTTTGTGCGCCAGAAACAAAAAATTAATTTAATGGAAAAGTTACCTGTGATTAAAATTGAAGCAGATATCCCATTTGTATAGACGTTCACTGCAGCTGGTAAAGTAATGAACAGAGCAAATACTGTTGTTTCCAATTCCTTTTTAAGTGATTTTAAAAATTCTCTTTCTTGCACGTTCCCAGACATTTTAAAATTCAGGTTTAAAAGACGTATATTAGAAAGCTGTTTTTTTTTTTTTTTTTTTTTTTTTTTTTTTTTTTTTTTTTTTTTTTTTTTTTTTTTTTTTTCTGGAATTAGAATGGTTAGAAAAATTTCGAGTGCAATAAATACAAGTGCAAATAAATTCAGATGCAAATCAACTATTCATAAAACACAAAAACAAAACTAAGAGAACTTACCCCTTCTGCTAAGTTTTATAATTATAATTCCTGTTTCAGACACTTCAAAACAAAACAACTAATTTCTAAGCAAGCCCTGGTTTTTGAGAAGAATGAACACTATATACGAAAAGAATTGTTTAGAAGCGACATTTCTTTATTTCATTTTTTATTGCAACTGACAATTGTTCAAAAATCGTCATCATGATGTACTTCATCGAGTTCTGCAGAACTAAAAACTGAAACTTATAAACATTTTTGACTGCATTTTAGACAGTTTATTCGTCATATCAAAACAAAATGAACTGAAATGTAAATTGTACAATGTGCACTAGTCGCTGTGATCACCGAAAATCGTCTAGAAAGCTGTAAGTGTTTTATTATTAATTTTCCTTTTACTTTCTAATAATACATTTCATGTGCAATGGAAATACTGATGCAGTGTGAAGTTCTGTAATATGTTGCTTGAGGCAATGTAGAAAGAAAATTAGCAAATTAAAATTACAAAATTTTCAAAATCTGAAAAACTTGAATTTAAATTCTTTAATTGTCTGATTTTTTTTATTCATATTTTAATTGATATTTTAAAATGAGGTGTTTATAGGAAGGTATTTAGTTTCTCTGAGTCTTATAGTTAATTCACATTTGAAAAATATATCATGTTGTTCTTTGAAAAGAAACTTAATTATTTGTTAACTACTCACAGAATGATAAACCTGTCAAGTTTTAAAAGTTTCTTATACATGTATGCAAATAGAACATTTAAGAAATTTCTTGCAATAGCTGATAATAATAATATTAAAAAAGTAAACATCTTCTCTTTATTTTTTATATAATGCTGATTTTAGAAAAAAAATTAATATTTGAAACGCAGTTTCAAATCCCTCGAAGTATGAGTTAATTCATTTCTTAAATGCAACTAAAAATGCATATGCTTATCATTTCATTTGTACGCTTACGCTTAGTATCAGACAATACTTTCAGTCAACAAACTTTAGTGACATATTTTTAATATTATGACTCATAGTAATAAAAGTAATCATAATATATTCATATCTTAGAATATTTGAAAATAATTCGCTAACTGTTATCTTAATAGCCTGTGAGTTTCAAGTCTTTTAAGGGTTTCTGAAGTTATACTTTTAAAGTGCATAAAAAGCTTTTCATTTATGGATTTTCTGTAGATAAATCCATAATATATGTTTCAATGTATGGATTTTACTCTATATACCGGCTGTATTATGATACAGAGTACTTCTTTTCTACTTCTCATGAGTAATACTTCAGATTATTTGAATTTGGAACGAAGAACATTTAAATGTGAAAGTTTTACATCTAATTTTCAGATAATAAACTTAATTAATCGTCTGGCAATAAACGAAAATACTATTTAAATATTAGAAAATGGCTTTATTTAAATTGGCACCGACGATAATTATTAATTCTAAAAATGTGGATATTTAAAAGTGTATAAAAAAGCTTTACATTTATGGGTTTTCTGTAATTAGATCCATAATATATGTCAATTTAAAGCGTTTTCCTCTAAAAACCAGCCATAATATGATACAAAATACTTATTTTCTATTTCTCTATTTATTTTTACTGGGTGACACTATTGATTATTTGAATTTCGAACGAAGAGCATTTAAATGTAAAGGTTTTTAACCAAGATTTCAGTTAATAAAACTTTTAACTAATCGTCTGATGATAAACGGCAATGCAATTTATTATTAAGGTATGTCTTTTTTAAACTGGCAACGACGAGAATTATTAATGCTAAAGATGTAAACGTGGGTTGTAATCTTAAACGTGTATGTATTTGTATTTTACACGTATTTTTATCCAAAATGTTTTGCCAAAAAAGTATTAATTGACTATGTTCTGATTCAGAAATAGATGTGAAACTCATATGCATCTATCTATCTATATATATATTAAGGAAAACATATTGATTTTCAAAGAATTCGACGGCATTTGAATTCAGTGTGGAATTTAAAAAAACATCATTTTATATACTTTTACATTTTACATCCAATTATAGAAAACATTGCTTTTAGTAAACAAATGTAAATATTTTCTTCAGCGATCAGAAGAACTAAAGCATAAATAAAACACTTTTGATTTTGCAGCAATGAATCAGCAAGAAAAAACTTTTATATTAATTTTAATGATTTATGAAATTTATGTTTAAAAATTTACTCGAACAGCTATACATTTATTCCTAAACGATCGATGACACTGACGAAATAATTTTTATTTTAGTTACACAATATTTTATATGTGTAATAATGACTTATTTTATAATTATTCGCTATAGACAGTTTTTTGTTTCTTGAAATGCTTTCCTCAGTTTCATAGCTTCTTGAAGTACAGTAATATTTTTAGCCAAGCTAAAAATTATCATGATGTTTAATCATATACTAATCATTTTCTACTATATATATGCGTAAAATTATAGATGGAAAAGCTATTAGTCTCCTTTGAAGTTAAAAAAGTAAATGCATTTTTATTAAATTAATGGAGTAATGGAAACACATTACACAAATTTTGCTGAATTAACTCTTTGAGACAAACTCTGTCCATTCTACTTTATACTAAAATATATCACTAACTTTTATTTAATAGCAAAATTTCTTAAACTTATTGAAGCTAATATGGAAGTATTTTATGTGGATAAACACCAAAATATTAAGTCTTGTTTTATTGCCATTCATAAAGTTCGTCAAATCCTTTGCAAATCTAAACTATTTCCTGCGGCAATAGAATTCCTTTATGTTACTAAGTTTTTCCCTAATATGTCGCAATAATACGCTGTCTGCATGCATTGCCTTCAGCACTACAAAAACTACAAATACTATTATTTTGCAAATCAAATATTTTCAGGTAAACAGAAAAGCAGTTGTGTTCAGTAATTTTTTGATTGTAATCAAACAATAACATGTAATATATATAAAAACTGAAAATCGTCTTTTTAATTTTTGTTAACTTTTAGCTATTTATTTTGAGATTTATTATAAAAAAATGAATTGACAATACAGTCTAAAATAGATTGTAATCTGTTTAGAGATTATGGAAACTTTTATGTAATTAATTATGCCAAAAAGATGAATATTTGTTTAGAATTAGCAGTTCCTTACTTCGCTAGCTGCCAGATATTCTGATTTTAATTGCATGAGTTAAATTTAAGAAATTTTTTCTTAAATTTCTTAATTATTTCTATTTTAAAAATTTCTTAAATTTTTGAAAAAAACTACATTATAAATGAATTAATATTAATATTTCGCAAATTAATTAAGCATTTTGCATTTCCTTGGTGCTTAAACACTTAGGCTTATTAATTTGTAAACGAAACTGGCTTTTTACAAAACATTTTATTATACTCGAAATAGGACTTGATTATGCTGGAAGTATGAGTTGATTATAATGTAAGTATGAGCTGATTATGCTCAAAGTATGAGTTCACTTTTTTTTTAAAGGTAACGTCTTTGATTGTATGCAGCAAGTGCTAACTGCAAAAGTTGCGCTATTTGATTCCATGCACAAAAAAGTTCTCTGCTAGTTAAAACCATTTAGCTCAAAAGTGAAAATGTTTTTCTAGGAAGATCGTTGAAACGGAACTTAACACCATGTTATAAGAAACTTAAAGCAACTTTAAAAATTTAAAATATCAATTAGAATTTGAAATGAGTTGCGGCAAATCTCAAATTGAGGTTATCTGCCTTCTGAGGAGGAATACCTTCGTGAATGACATTATGCGGTAAATTGGGCTGTATTTACATAATACATGAAAAAAAGCCGCTTGCAGCCTTTGGCGAAGACAGAAACCGAAGCGAATTTATAATGCATTGCCGGTTTTGAACCAGTCCATCATTGGTTGGTTAAATGTGATTTAAATTTTTCGAAAATATTTTGGAAGAAAATTGAATGGTGTCAGTCCTTTCTTTAGATAGAACCTCTTTAATTTGTGCTTTTAAGTTATCTTGTGCTTTTAAATCATTAGAATACGCCTTGGATGATAATATATGCATATAATAAATTTATCGTCTTTTGTTCGCAGAGAAGGGAAGTGACATCATACTTTAATTCAAGGCTTAAGAGAAATATACCTTTCGAACTTTTCGAAACCCTATGGTTTTGTTAAATGATGCAACTAAGTGCAGGTTCTTTTGTAAATTTTATACAAGCACGAATGTTCACTCATTCTTTTCACCTACATACACAGTCACAAAAATACATCACACCAAGTCCTAATACAATACCGTATTATACATAAGTTACCCTTGCTTTTTGAAGGTGTTTAAGGCTTAGGTGTTGCTAAGAAAAGGAGAAAGACTTTCACATAAACGGCTGCACACAGTGAGCTTGAAGGGTTGAAGACTTCTTTGCGAAAGTGGTCGAAATAATCCTATATTGAGGTAGAACTAAGTTAATATATTTTCTATTAATGTAAAATGTAGAAATTAAGAGATACATTAATTTTGATATTTGGCTGCTGTTATAAAACAAATGCGATTTTCAGATGGGCATTTATAAGAGGAAAAATCCGTTTTTTACTCAGGTACATAAAGGTACAAAATCGTTTCCCTACATAATATCTTTGTTTTAATTTTAGATAATCGGCAAACTTTGATTTTGGGGAGAAATTTATTACGAGGTAGTGAAAAAACTTTCGAAATTATAGAGTTTTTTTTATCGAATCAATTGAAGTTATTTGCAGTTGCCTAACAAGGATTTTATTATATCATAACAAGTACATATGAATCCCACTGTCCATAATTACTCCTTTACTATTGGTAGAATAATTCATAAAAATCTTCTTAACGTTAATTCACACATCCTTATTGCTTGCATTTTCCTTACGTGAAATGTAATAGCTGAAGGAATGTTTTGTATTGCGAATACGAAATATATACTATAATTAATAGAAAGGGGGAAGGGAGCTATCATACTTCCGGGTATTCCCCCTTTTCTACTAATTTTACGGCCTGATAGCCGGTAGAAGAAACGTGCGTGGTGCATACTATTTCTGAAGGCACGGCTTAAACGATAAACATAGCACATTAAAAACCACATATAAATATACACTATTAAGTAACGCTTTTGAAAGAATTTATCAATTTCAATAATATTCTATTTACTTATATATAATATTTGTCCGCCCATTTTACATTGTTATTATGAATCAGAAGTTTCTAAATCATACGCTGAAAAACTAGGGGGAGAGTACTCGAGGAGCAGAAATATGTGAGTAAAGAATGGTATTTGTGAAAACAGACACAACGGTAAGAAAGTTTTTCAAAATTTGAAAAATTATTAATATACCTAGGGAAATATTTTGGGAGGATTCTCCTATTTCTCCACAAAATTACAAAATTTGCAAGTTATCAATAAATTTTAAATAATTAATTTGTTATATGAATTAATTTTTTTTGCTTAAACAATTGATTTGCAAGTTTTTTTAATTAAGGGGATGCTTATATGGTGGGATGAAGTTTTAATCCTATTATTGCTGCATAGCTAATTAAGA